AGAGAGTATGTACTCTGCCTGGCAACAGTGCAGCGCAACAGCCAAAGTTAATCAGCGAAGTGTATTCAGTGAGATCCTTGCGCTGAAAAGGTGGGAAGCCACTGAGCTAGATGGCTCTGCTGCTTTAGCGGACACAGAGAGTTAACTCCGTGCTCACTCCTCTCGCTGTTTGCGCCTTATCTGAAAAGCCAGGACTAGGAGATGAGTCAGAGTTTGAAGAGGGTTCACAGCTTCATCTGGGAGTTATAGGTGAAGATCCCAGCCGGACTCATACAGATCATACTGCAAACAGGTAAGAAGTCATCCCGGAAGGTGGGCGACACAGACTCATAGGCCTCCAGGCCAAAGCGGGCCTGTGCTTAGTCTTCCAAGGTTTTATTTGAATTTCCATAAATCCACATATTTTTGTGTTAGACTTGTTTCGTAGGCTTCAAGGCCTGAAGCAGCTTTGCTGTTTCACACTTTGCTATTGGGGGATTTGTCCATAAACATATTTTTAAAAATATATATTTTATTGATTTTTTTACATAGGGGAAGAGAGAGATAGAGAGCTAGATACATCGATGAGAGAAACATCGATCAGCTGCCTCCTGCACACCCCACACCGGGGATGTACCCGCAGCCAATATACACGCTCTTGCCCGGAATCGAACCTGGGACCCTTCAGTCCGCAGAAGGGAGAGAGAGAGAAACAACAATGATGAGAGTATCATTGATTGGCTGACACTCTATCCTAGGGGTGTCGAACTCAATCAGAGAAGGGGCCAAAATCTAAAATCCAGCCTAAATCGCGGGCCGAATGGTTTACTGAACAGTCATAAACTGTCATTGTGATGGAAACGCAGCGGAGTGCAGTGATGACGGCGCGGTGCGGGCCACATTGCAAGGCCTGGCGGGACGGATTTGGCCCGCGGGCCTTGTGTTTGACACATGTGCTCTATCCACTGAGCCAACACTCTATCCGACTGAACCAACACTCTATCCACTGAGCCAAACCCGTTTCGGCCATATATCCCTTTTTAATTTTTCATTAGAGATGTAAATTTTTTAAAATATATATTTTTATTGATTTCAGAGAGGAAGAGAAAGGGAGAGATAGAAACATCAGTGATGAGAACCATTGATTGGCTGTCTCCTGCACACCCCTTACTGGGGATTAAGCCCACAGTCTGAGCATGTACCATGACTGGAAATTGAATCATGACCTCCTGGTCCATACATTGATGCTCAACCACTGAGCCACACCAGCGGGGGTAGAGATGTACATTTATCACTGCCCCCATAAGCCTTGTGTTTCTTTTCTTTTCAATAGCAAATTATTAGCATGGGATTTTAATCACAATGTTGAAGTAACAATATTTTATTTAAAGATATATGAATTCTAAATTTAATGAAATTTTATGCATTTTTATCTAGATAATTCGAATGACCCTTAAATTGAAACTTTTGTTGTTTTGATCTTTCTTTCAATGAGGACAGATCACTTGGAGGTCAGGAACTCACATTTTGATGTTGGATTCTATTGTCAGGCACATTTTCCCCTAACTCCTGTGTAAAGAGTAACTCAAACTACTTGGTTATTTTAAAAAACCATTTAGGGATATTGAACCCTTATCAAAAACTCATCTTTTAATGGTCAAATTCTGAGAGTAATGACAGCTTTAGGCAACAATATAAATGAATGAATCTAACGTAATATAGAACAAAGAAACAAGACAAAAGAGTATATTCTGTAATGATTCCATTTATATAAAATAAAATATTGAGCCCTCGCCGGTTTTGCTCGATGGATAGAGTGTCAGCCTGCTGACGGAAGGGTCCAGGGTTCGATTCCAGTCGAGGGCATATGCCTGATTTCCAGGCTCGATCCCCAGTAGGGGCTATGCAGGAGGCAGCCGATCAATGATATTCTCTCAGCATTGTTGTTTCTATCTCTCTCCCTCCTCTCCCTTCTTCTCTGAAATCAATAAAAATACATATTTTTTAAAAAATCCAAAGTTGACAAAATTAATCTATGTTGTTAGAAGCTGGGTAATGTTTTCCTTTGTGGTGGAAAGGTGAGACAGTGATTAAGAAGTGGTGTGGGGGCATCTTCTAGGGTGCTTGTAATATTGTAATTCTTATTTATTTATTAATATATTTTTATTGATTTTAGAGAGGAAGGGGGAGGGAGAGAGTGATAGAAACATCAACGATAAGAAAGAATCATTGATCAGTTAGCTGCCTCCTACACACCCCACACTGGGGTTCGAGCCTAATACCCAGCTGAGCCCTGACTGAGAATTGAACTGATGACCTCTAGGTTCATGGGTCATTGCTCAACCACTGAGCCACACGTGCTGGGCGAGTTTTGCTCTTAAATTTACATCTTCCATTCATTTTGAGTTAAATTTTTGTATATGGTGAAGTAAAGGGAGAGGGAAAATTAACCTTTTGAATGAGGCATTTCACAACTATAATTCCAACTAAAATTATAGCTAATAAACACTTAAGGGCCCATCAGATTTATATTTTAATTTAAAAAAATAATTTCACTAACCTAGTTTCAAAACTATAATTCTTCTACTTGAAAGCAACTGCAGTGGCTAATTAGGCCAAAACCTATTAGCTTTGGAAATGACAAATTGTTAGCCAAACACATTGTACTTTTTTCTGGTCCAATCAGGCAACAATCATTAGTGGTTGTTTAAACTATTAAGTGACAACGCCGAAACCGGTTTGGCTCAGTGGATAGGGCATTGGCCTGCGGACTGAAAGGTTCCCGTCAAGGGCATGTACCTTGGTTGTGGGCATATCCCCAGTGGGGGTGTGTGCAGGAGGCAGCTGATAGATGTTTCTAACTCTCTCTCTCCCTTCCTTTCTACTAGTTTAGGTCAATTTAGGGAGAACTATCATCTTTTTTTAAAAAAATCTTTATTGTTGATAGTTCATAGATTTTTCCTTTTTCCCCATTAACCTCTTTTAGCCCGCTCTCCGTCCCCTCCCTCAGGCCCTCTCCAATGTCTGTGTCCTCGGGTTATGCATATATGCCCACAAGTTCATTGGTTGATCTCTTTCCACCCATCCTCCCCTGCCTTTCCTCTGAGGTTTTACAGTCTGTTCATGCTTCTATGTCTCTGGGTATGTTTTTGAGAACTATCATCTTAACAAAGAGCGTTCGATCTGTGAACATGGTATTTTTATTTACCTAGATTTTCTTTGATTACTCTCAGCTATATTTTGTAATTTTCAGTATATAGGTCTTGCATTACTTTCATTATATTTATCACATTTTCTGATGCTCTTGTGAATGAAGTCTTTCTAATTTGATTTTTAGGTTGTTCATTGATGTCATATATAAATATACTGATTTCTGTATGTAGATCTGGTATCTTATGACTTTGCTGGACTTAATTATTTTAAAACCCCCATTTCTTTATGTGTAAAATGGGGATAGCTAATTGGGGATAGTAAGGTTTTTGTGTGGAATAATATAGATAAAATCTCATCAGAAGTCTAGAAATGAAGCTCTTCCTCAAAAAACAATCCAACTACCTAAAGAGTGCTTTCTCTCTCTGGAGCCTACCAGTGTCTTTCCCTCTATTCCTTCCCCCAGGCCAGTTTTCTTTCCCCTTCATACTCTTAACTCCTAGGGCCCTTCTTTTGCTTCTGTAACTTTTTTCCTGAGTCCACACAGCTCAGCTGGCTCACTTCTACCTCTGTGGCTTTCTAATTAAACTTTTGCTTGAATTTGAAAAAAAAAAATAAGAAAAAGAAGTTCAACCACCTAAAATGAGGGGCTACATTAAAAAAAAAAAATGACTATAATGGCCTTGGTATAGACACAGGAAACAGTCACCAATAGTATCATATCTGAATTTGCATAATTAAGAGGCTTTGCTGCATTTTCGTTAATATAGTGAGCAGACAATTGTTTATATTTTCTACCATTTGCATGCATTGTTTTCATAATTAGAAGAAAACAACAGGTGTTATTTCTTAAAAAGTAAAAAATAGTAATCCAAAAGAAAAAAAAGGGAGGGGCATTAGCGGTAGAGAGCACGTTTAAAGGTATGGAACTAATAAATAATGAGGAATAAAGAAATAAAATGGAGTCACTATGGTCAAGCTGCTAAATTATTAAAATCAAGCAGGCTGAAGAATGAGGAAATAACTCTATTCTTGCCTTACTTGGCTTGGGGACTTAAAAACTTTCCAGTTGAGTGTCAATGCCTAGATATACATTATTTTCACAGATAACCATCTGAACAACTCAGGAGAAAACGTTGCATTATCCAGACCACTAGACACTTGAAAGATTACCATCTCGGACCAACCCATCAGCAAAGAATGCAGGACTGATTCTCCTCTAGTATGTTCTTTTCTTACTCAAAGACCTCTCAGCTTTCCTTGCTCCTTTGGAACACCCTGGACATTAACTACTAGCTGTGTTTTCAGTTTGCACACCCTACTTCCCTTGAGTACATCTTTGGCCTTTGTTTCTGGCCAAAAGCCTCCTGACCGGGGTTGTCTGATTTAAAAAAACCGAGGCTCTGGGTTCAAATAGGTGCACACGTGCTGAAGAGGTGCGATGCAATGTGGCGCTGCTGGGAGAAACGGGTCCTGGAAGCAAGGACACACGAAGCCCTGTTCCATGGTGCGACCCGAAGGACCTCCAGCCTTGCTACCCCTCCCGGCCATCTCGAACAGACCCGGCGACCTGCCTGAGCCTTTTGCTGAAGGGTAAGCGGCGCCCTACATCCTCCGACGCCGGCTCAGGGAGAAGGCGGCAGCGCCCACCAGGGCGTCTACCGTCCTGGACCGGAAACCAGACCTAGAGCGTCACTGGGGTGGGCGGTGACCGAGAAGGCGGAACTGGGAGCCGCAGCTGGGGGCGGGGCTTCCCAGCTCCTCCGCTTCTTATTGGCTCTTACCGCTGTTAGTCTCGGCCTCCTTTCCGCCCCCACCTTTTCCGCGCTGGCCTTCAGCTAAATGACGGGCGGAGCGGGGCGGGGCCGGGCCAGGGGCGACTTCCGGTAGGGGAAGAGTTGCAGCCTAGGAGCGGCTGCCGAGAGGTGGAGGAGGAAGAGGGAAGCGCCGGGCGGCGGCTGCAGTAGGTGCTTGGCTGTAAGGTTGTCTGGGGCGGCGGCGGCGGCTCTCTCCCCGGCGGACGATGGACAGCCAGGGCAGGAAGGTGGTGGTGTGCGACAACGGCACCGGGGTAAGCTCCGGGCGGGGAGGCCGCGGTGGCCCGGGGTCCGGGTGGGGCGCAAGGGCCCTAAGGCGCGCGGGGTTGCACCCCTGGGCCCTGGAGCCGCCCGGGCCGAGGGGCGCGGGGCAGCCCTTCCCACCTCCGTGGGTGTAGGGAGCGAGGGCCCCGGTCACCCGGAGCTCACCACCCCCCATCCCCTCATCCATCCGGGCCGGGGCGGCGGGCGAGGCCGGCTCTGCGCGGGGACCCACGCCTGCTGCCCTGCGGGGGCCGGTCCGCGCCCCGAGCCCGGCAGTTTGGCTAAAGGGTCGGAGCGGGTGAAAGCCTAGGTTTGTGGGCTCGGGAAGGGCTTCGTTGCCCCGGGTTGCCGGTGTGTGAAAAGGGGAAAGAGACCCAGAGGCCTTCCTTTTCCTGTGTAGGTACCGAATGGGAGGCAGGAAACGGGTTTACAGACAGAGAGAGAGAGAGAGGAAAGAAAAAAAAAAAAAAAAGGAAGTACTGTCAGTGCAAGCCTCAGCCCTGCAGCCGTTTTGAGATTTTGTGTGTTTTTTTTTGAGGGAAGTAGGGGCCACATCGGAGTGCATAATTTACTTTTTGTTCTGCATTCCGGGGATTTTGCCCTCGGTGGCTCCGCTGAGACCAGCATGCTCCATTGATTGGTCCTGGGACAGCCAGCACCCCTCCAGCAGTCCCAGTGTTAGTGCCGCTGACCTTAGGGGGAAGTTCATCAGTTTTGGCACCTCCCTCTACCCGATTTTCATTTTTAAAAGATCTTCACCCGGGGATATGTTTTTGATGATGATGATGATGATGATTGATTTCAGAGAGAGAGGAAGTGAGAGGGAGAGAGAAACATGGATGTGAGAGAAAGAAGACCATCAAGGGTTGCCTCCCACTCGCCCCCCCCCCCCCCGGGGATTAAAACCGAAACTTGGGTATTGTTGTGCCCTGACCGGACTCCAACAGACAACAGAGACCCTTTGGGGCATGGACGCTCCAACCAATGAGCCACACTGGCCAAGACACCCCCCCCCCCCGTTTTTGTCCTTAGATATATATTACAAATGTTAGTCTTTAAGATACTAAAATGCAAATAATTGTAAAAAACTGATTAAGAAATTGTTTGAGAGCTGTTTCTTTCCTACGCACCCCCCCCCCCTTCCCCTTTAAAATTGTATTTTTGGGCAGCCAAGTCAGCAAATTAGAAGACAGAAATGCTACTTACTTTGGATGAGTTCCATAGTGATAACTTTCTCCTACATTACAGTGATGTCTAACCATTTTGGAGTTGCATACTTTGGGACTTTTCTCCCCCTACTTTCCATAAATGTGACATAGGAATTAAAAAAGATTTTACTTGAACTTTAAAACATTTTGACAGCTGGATTGTTGAGGAGGGGAAAGGACCTAATATTCACTGCCGTAATACTTCCCTTGATGGAATTTGTTACAGACTTTTACAAGTAATAATTATACTAGCTTTATCTGAACTTAGTTTAAAATGGTCTTGAGTAATAGGGTGTTGTCATATAATGGGACATCATACAAAATGAAATAACTTTAAAAAAAAAAGGCAGATTTACTGCTTTTGAAGTTGTCTAATATTTATTGTTAAGTTAAAAAGTGATCCCATTTATGCAAGTGTTCTTTATTAAAAATATACGTTCACAGATGTGTGTGTATATGAAAGTTTTGGAGGGATGCATAAATGTTCATTGTGAGACTAGGTATAACGGAGTGAGAGAAGATGAGGACTTCATAACTCTTTCTAATTATTGGGGAAATGTTCTTTGTGTTTTTAACAAGACGTACTGTTAAATTATCTTTAAACAAAAGAAACTATAAACATTTGTTACTTTTATAGTTAAAACTCAGTTAAAGGTACTTTTTAAAAGATATTAGTCTCAAGTTGACCTCTAAATAGATTTAAAGCTCTAAAAATTGAATTTAAAACATTTTGTTTGGTGAATATGCCAGATAATTCTCTTTAGAAATATGAGCCAGTTAATGAACTCCTCTTTTTTTTTTTTTTTTTTTTTTTAATTTTTAGAAAGAGTGGAAGGAAGTGGGAGAGACCCAGAGAGAGAAACATTGGTTATAGACATATTGCTTCCCATACACCCTGACCAGGGCTGGGGGGGGATGGAGCTTGCAACTGAGGTATGGGCCCTTGACCCGAATCGAACCTGGGACCCTTCAATCCGCAGGCCAGTGCTCTGTGTGCTGAGCCAAATCTGCTAGGGCTGTATTCCTCTTTTTTAGGAGGGGGGGAAGGGCAGGGAGGGGTGGTAAAGGGGGAAGAGAGGTGATTCCTCTTTTTTGAAGGCCAATGAACCCTATATTTGTAATGAGTTTTGTGATATTCAGTTAGAATAGGGATGTTAACTGTAAGCTCATTAAAGAAAAATTTGTTTTTAATTGCTGAGAGAGACCATCAGGGTTTAAACCTGCAACCTGGTATGTGCCCTGACCGGGAATTGAACCTGCACCTTTTGGTGCATGGGACAACACTCCAACGAGCTACACCGCCCAGGGCCATAAGCTCATTTTTATGTTACTATTTCATTAGTTTAGCTATGTTAGGAAGCTGATTGTATATTACTGATTAGTCTTATTCTAATTAATAATTTAAGGATCTTGTTCTTTAAGACAAAAGATCAGTTACTATTACCTATATAGGAAAAACTGTAGCTGGTTCAAATAAGAATATATTTGGTGTTGCATTTATATTTTTAAACTTTATTCAGATTTTCTATAGATATAATCAACTTTCAAATGAAGAAACAGTTCTGATATGTCCCAGGTTCAATTCCAGTCAAATGTAAATGCCTGGGTTGTGGGCTCGATCCCAGTAGGGGGCGTGCAGGAGGCAGCTGATCGATGATTCTCTCTCATCATTGATGTTTCTAACTCTTCCTCTCTGAAATTAATAAAAATATATTTTAGAAAATAATAATAATAAAAATTTAGAAAAATAGGAACCACTTAGATTTTATATTCTTTTTTACAGTTATCTTGATTTTATTTAGTTAGCTGAAGGTATAATGATTCCTTTACAATTATATATTAAACAAGATATTAAAATTTAATTTCTAAAAACTTGTGGAAATAGTTCTTACCCTAAAGCAACTTGCCTCTTACACGTTTTAGGTTTTAAAGTTTTAATTATAGGCAATTTGAGAAGTTAATGATTTTTTTTTAAACTCTTCTGGCAGGCCCTAAGTCGAATGCTCACAGAGTGAGTTCTTACGATCACATGCTAGCCCCCAACCAGTTTCTCATTAGGGCAGCCTACAGAAGGAAAACTCGCCCAGTTCCAATAATTTATTTGCTTCATCCTCATAACTGTTCAAACCTACCACCTAAAATAGAGCCACTGAAAGTGGCCAAATGGGTGGAAATCTGGATACCGGCTTAGGTTTAGGTGCTTGTCAAGAGTTCCTCCCAGGCCTCTGCTGTTGTGTATTCTGTTGTCAGACGGGTGATTTCATCAGCAGTGAGTTAGCTCACCACCCACAATGAAGACAGCTGCCTTCCAGGTGCCTGGTAGTTTTTAGGGTCTAGTGATACAAAGTAGCTAAAAATGCTAGGATAATTATATTTACTCTAGTGGCCCGGTGCACAGATTCCTGCACGTTGAAAGGAAAATAATTAGAAGAAATATTTTAATATTGCTATTTGCTCTTTCTCTGTAATGGGATGCTGGTCGCTGTCTGTGGGGCGATCAGGCTCCCACCCGCCTCCCTCAGTGCCTGGGAGCCAGGCTGCAGCCTGCCCTCTGCCGCCGCCACTGGTTGCTGTCTGCGGGGAGTTCCATGGGGCGATCAGACAGCTCACATCTACCTTGCCCTGGCGCCGCCTGCTCACCTGCTCCACCATCCTGCTGTGCTGTGGTCCTGCTTGTTGCAGTGCCTCCACGGCCACCTGCTGCCAGTGCCACATTGAGATGCCCGCCATGTTCCGTGCCACCCCCCCCCCGGTGATCAGTACACATCGTAGTGAGCAGTTGAACTCCTGGTTGAGGGGACAATTTGCATATTAGGCTTTTATTATATAGGATTTATAATTCCCATTTGTATTTGCATATGGCCTGCTCTAGCTGGCTTATGTTAATTTATTTTGCTGAATTCAGGAGTGTTTGGAAATAGAAATAAATAAAAAACAAGTTTGTTTTTCCCTGGCTGATGTGGTTCAGTAGTTAGAGTGCCTGCCTGCACACTGAAGGGTCAAGGCCACTGTACTGGAGTTGCAGTTTCCACCCCTGGTCCCCGTCAGTGCAGGAGGCAGCCAAGTGTGTGTGTGTCTCCCTTTCCCTCCCTCCCTCCCTTTCTCTTCCTTCCACTTGCTAAAAATCAGTGGAAAAAATAGCCTCAGGTCAGGATTAACAAAAAAAGAAAAAAAAAAAACAACAACAACTCACAACACAGAAGATTTGGTTTTACCCTGTAAAATGCTTGGGAATAAATAGAATGACTATTTTGGTTGTGTGAGATCAGGATAATCACTATGAAATTAAAGTAATATACCAGTACTGTCAGATAAAATAATAAAGAAAAATACAATAAGTCCAAGTGAAGCTTTATAAATCTGTTTGTTTTTTGAGAGAAAAGATGCTTTTAGAGCAAATGTACAGGAAGTTTTTTTCATCTTTGCTTGAAAGAACATTATAGTGTGAGATGTTCTTACCATTTGATGACTCAGTGGGAAGTAAGGGAGCCAGTTTAAACCACAGTGCTATGAAAAGGAAACTATATATGGTAAAAAGCTATTTCTTAAACACAGACTTATTGCACACAATTAGAGAACTAAGTCTCCAAGTCTTAAAATGATTGGAGTGGGGGAGGAATTTCAAGGTTTAAATGATGCTAAACGAGTAGCTTAGGAAAGAATATTTTCTTTTCATTTCATCACATCATGGTTTATATTTAGGTTTTTTTAAATACAGTCTTTTTTTTTTTTTTTTTCAAGAAAAGAAATGCTGGATTGTCTGTTAGTTTCTATTATCAAGGAATATAGTTTACTGTAATAGTATTTGTGTTATTATAGCTATCTGTGCTTTCACATTTGAAATAGTGCAGACATTGCCATTTTGACCAAATTATCTTATACCCTGTAGGAATGCTAACACTAGATTACTATGGCAACAAATGCTTGTAATAAACTACTTAAGCAGAGTAATTTCATTAACAAGTGAGTGATAGCCGTAATTTGAATTAAAAGCCACATTTTTCTTTTTTGTAAAGCACAGGAATAGCAGGTTTACAATTGTTTTTCTAGTTCAGGTCGGGAGAGGGTTCTCAGTTTTTGTCTTCTTACCTCAGGCACTTGGGAAATATTTTGTCCCTTGAAATATATCCAAACAGGAGTTTTAAGATATGAACTACCCATCTGAATAGTTATAATCAGAAAACATTGAGTGATGTGATTATTTATAGAGTTGCCTCATTGCATGATTCTGAAAATGAGGCCTGACTATAGTGAGAGGAAAGCATATCAACCCTCCCAGCCTCCTAGGACTTGACTAAAGCCCCATCCAAAGCTCTTCCACCGTCACCTTCTATTGTGATTTCACACTTAAGTCATTTGTTTACATTTAAAATGCTGAAAATGGCCCTCCCAGACTTAGCGATTCTTTTTTTAATCGATTCATTTTATAGTTTTCCTTAATACTTTGAGGTAAATGTAAGAACTTATTTACTTTCTATATTTGGACTACATATATAAATTATGACTAATACTTATATTAGGCTGGTGATCACAATAAATTTTATTTATGTAGAAATTTCAGTATGGCCAAGATAATAACAGATTCTCTACCCTCCCATATCATTTCGGTTTTCACATCAAGTGAACTGGATTTTTTTTTTTTTTTTTTTACTTTTTTATATATTTTATTGATTTTTTAACAGAGAGAGATGGAGAGAGATAGAGAGCTAGAAACGTCGATGAGAGAGAGTCATCGATCAGCTGCCTCTTGCACACCCCCTACTGGGGATATGCCCGCAACCAAGGTACATGCCCTTGACCGGAATCGAACCCAGGACCCTTCAGTCTCCAAGCCGACGCTCTATCCATTGAGCCAAACTGGTTTTGGCTGAACTGGATTTTGACTTAGTTCTGATCAGGGCAGTGTCCAGCCTGGCCCTGGCAGGGACAAGGAGTCCCTCATCTCCTCCTTATGAAGGCAGTGCGGCAAGGAGCTGTGCTCCCCGCCAGGAACAGGAGGCACCGCTGCCATGTGCCAACGAAGCAGATTAAACAAAGCCCCAAGTCCGCTTACCTCTAGCTCAACTCATCTTATAGCCTGTTCCTCACATATATTGCACCTGGCCTGTACACTTTCCCAGAGTTCCTCCACAAACACCAGAGGCCCAGGTTTTATAGTGGGGAGGGCAGAACACAGGAGAGGTTTCCTGAACGAGCCCACAGTTAGGCCCTGGAGGGAAGAGAATCCCCGCACTCGTGGGTCCCAGGGTCCCAGAGCTCTCCTCTCTGTCAGGACCACGCTGCACCACGAAGCAGCGGGGACGGTCTGTCTAACCGCGGAGTCCTGCTGGCATGACTTGTATTTCTGTGCCGCCAAGAGGTTGTAGCTAAAGCTGAAACATTTCTCAGCAGCCTCCCTGCTAACCTTCCCTTTATCCCTGAAGTTTTAAATGGCATTTTTCTTGCAATGTCTGCTCTTAAAAATAAGACTAAAACAGACTATATTATTGGTATAAGAATTTAAAGACCCTTGGTTCTACTTTCAGTTTTGCTGTAGTTGTTAAGTCTGCTAGTATATCAGTTCCTTTTGCATAAAATGGAAGTAAAGTCAATAAGGATATGCCCTCATTGGAGAAGTATACTATCTGAATATTAAATTGTTACCTGATATTACTAAATACATTTATTTGAATATAAAACTGTTAACAGCCCAAAATGCCTAATAAGTTTATTTTAAAATGATGCTAGTCCAGACTCATTTGATTTTCCCCATTTTGAAAAATGAGTTGCTTAAGTGAATTGCCAGAGATGAATGTAAGCGTGCTTTAGAATTAAAACTTTAGCTCTGTTGTTCATGTTCTAATATTTCTCTTTTAAAAATAGTTGTTGTTTCCCTGGCTGGGTGGCTTGGTTGGTTAGAGCAATGTCCTGACACACCAAGGTTGTGGGTTAGGGCTCATAGAAGAATCAACCAATGAATGCTTATTTATATGGGTGGAACAACAAATCAGCCAATGAATGCATAAATGGGTGGAACAATAAATTAATGTTTCTCTCCCTCTCTGTCTCTAAAATCAGTAAGGAAGTTTTTAAAAAAAGTAGTTGTTCACTGAATTTGCCCATTTCCCCCAATATTACTTTTTTTCAAAATTTAATTTTTAGAGGAAAGGAGAGAAAGATCGAAGAGCAAAACATCAATCAGCTGCCTCCTGCATGCCCCCCACGGGGGATCCTGCCACCATGCCATCCTGGCAAATGGCCTGATGGAATTGGACCGGCAGTCTTTCAGTATGTGGGATGATGCCTAACCACCTGAGCCACACTGGCCAAGGGTCAAATACTTATGTGACCACTGTGTGTCAGGACCTCTTTGAGGCCTCAGGATCCAACATGCTGCTCAGCTGAGCTCCCTGCTTTCCTGAGGCTTTCTCTATAGCGAGGGACTTAGGCACTAAGTAATCAATCAGTTTACCGGAAAATAAACATGAACTCCAGTAGTAGTCAATGCCATAAAGGAAATAAAACGAGATATGATAGATTGGATGGCCAGTTTAGATAATTTGAAAGTATCCAAAGTTAAAAATATTGTATAAATGCAAAGTGGTATTTTTCAGAGATATATATATTTTTAATGTATTGATTGATTTTAGAGAGAGGAAGGCAGAGGGAGAGAGAGAAACATCAATCGGCTGCCTCCTGAGCCCCTTGTTCTGGGATTTGAGCATGTGCCCTCATCGGAAAAGGTATCTGCAACTTCCTGGTGCATGGGACGACATCAGCCAACCGAGCCACACCAGCCTGGCTTAGATACTGTTTTTAAATGGCTATGGTAAATACTCGACTAACCCACTTTTACTGTTCTCTTCCAGTTTGTGAAGTGTGGATATGCAGGCTCTAACTTTCCAGAACACATCTTCCCAGCTTTGGTTGGAAGACCTATTATCAGATCAACCACCAAAGTGGGAAACATTGAAATCAAGGTAATATTTTATTTATTGTTAAATGAGGTTCAAAACCTATGAGACGTTCTTTGAATTAAGTAGTTTTAAAATATGATGCCATGAAAAGCAAAGGGGGAGGGCAGAATTTCTTATATTTCTAATTTATATCAACACCTGAAGAAAGGCACAAAAACTGAAATTAATTTTATCTTCCTGTAAGTATGGCTTGATGCCATTACTCTGTGAATGGAGTAAAACATGTAAGATTTTTACATGAATGTGAGTTATAATTTTTAAAAGAAAGCCTGGCATTTTTATGTTTTTCAGTTCCATATATTTGTCATTATATGTTAGTGTTTCTTTGGGACCTTAGACTTTTCCTTTCATGTAATCATGGCCTGATCCCCCTACATTTTTATATAGTTAGTCAGGAAAACACAGAATGTAAATCTTATTGTTTCCCTTTTTCACTAATGTAATAACTGGTTTCCATGATGTGCAGGAGGAAGCATACAGTCTTTATGTGGTCTTGCATTATTACCTTACCAGAAAGAGAAAAGAGGGAAGGTTATCATTTCCTACTCACTGTGCCTGACACTAGAGACTCAGCATTAAGGATGATGGGTTTTTCTCCCGTATTAAAGGGATTGGAAATCAAATGGGAGTTAGGATATTTTAGAAGAAAAAGGAAACAGATCAACCAAAGGACTGTTGTCACCAATTGACTTAAATTCTTCAGGTGGCCTAGGGGTCAGGTTATACAAAATGCAGTAGAATTTAGGGGCTCTCTCACTGAGTAATTTGTGAACAAGCTAGCATTGTTGATCTTATCTGGACAGTCTTTGGCAAGACTTCAGTGAACTATTAAGATTATGAGTCACTTGAAACATGAGTTAGGGTGAGCTTCTTTGGGACATTTGTTTGAACTTTCTAGTAAGGTGGTAATAGGCAGTAGAGATTTGCTACTTGGTAGCTCTCTGCTCTTGGGATTAAGAGTTGAATTGGCAATGAATAAAAATATAAACTGATGCTTAGGTTCTTCGTTAATTTCTTAAAGACTTAAAATAGTGAATTATGCTGGCCTCTTGTTATTTTAGGGATAATCAAATGGGACACTTGGTGAGTGTTTTCATTGTAGGGACTTTTCTTTTGGGACATTTATGGGATTCCTTACTCTCTCTTTTGTGAATTTTTGTTCTGATTGAATTTGATCTTCAGTAGGCTTTGATTTAACATTTAATAATAGTGAGAAGGATAAAATTTTAAATGGAGTAGAAAGTCTTTTTATTTGTTATCAGGTTTGTAAAGAATTTTTTAATGTACATTATGGTATTAACATTTTTAAGGTATCAAGGTATATCACATATTGCCATTTTTATTCTTCACCATAAGCACGAATGATTACATATCTTTTAACTCCCATTTTCTAGCTTTTTAAGGCCAAGTAATAGAAATTAAACTAGTCAGTATATCAATGAGATTTTTTTTACTAAGGAATTCCCAATAGCATTGCTTGTATGGTTTGTCATTCTGTGTTCTGTTGGCTCAGTTCTGTTCAATCTGCTTAGTCTTTTAAGTCTTTCAAGTTAAATTGTTCTTCCAGTAAAAGACAGACAACTGTAAGATTTAACTTGACTGTTGGAGCTCCAACCTTAACCTCTGCTTAGCCAGCTACACCTTTCCTGTTATCATTTATTTTCCTTAACTAAGGTTCTTAAATTCAGTAATGAATTTAAAGAAACTTGACTTTTTGGAATTCCTCTGTCTAGTGTATTGACTTAGACTTTTTGTATCTTGTTAGCTAGAATGTGGTGGTAGACTTAAAAAAATACTGGGAAATTTAAATTGTTTAATGAGTTAATTTTCATTCAGAAGTAATAACTTTCCATGTTAATTTGGCCCTAATTATTAACTCCGTAAAATAAAGTAGTACTGCATCTGACCTCAACCTAATTGTTCTCTATTGCTTGTATGTTTTAAAAATTTCAGTGAGGATTTTATTTAGGCCTTTTCTGACTCTTACTTCTACCTTCTCTCTCTTCACCTTTCTTGACCTGTTGAAGTAGAATAACAAAAAGATGGTAAGTGAGGTTATACACATGCTCTCTGTTTGTTTTCCACTTTTGCTTGGTGGGACAATAGTTATTGTTTTGTGTCCCTTTAGTATTGGGGAGGGGGGTATTTCCATATTTTAATTTTAAGTACTTTGATCCTATACTTTCCTGATTGCATACAATGGACCAAACCAGAACTGATTTACTAACATAATTTTGAATTGTTTTCTTGTGTTTCTTATAGATGAATGTTATAATTTAAATGGAATGAGGTGTGCATAATATTAGAAACCTGGGTACATCCCAGACAATTTACTCCTTCATTGTGTTTTTTTCTGTGATAGTCTAAATGCTTCTGTAGTAGGTTATTTTCAAATTTGTTTTTTATTATTTGTAAGCAGCTTTGAGAAAGATGAATGATAGGCATTTCTAGTGATATATATTTTAACTAGTAAGAGTAACTTTGTGGAGTTTTCTTTTGATTAAGCAAAAACATTTAAAAGTGGAAATTCTTATATTTATCCTAAATAAAAGATCATGCCTTTCTTAATATCCTTAGGAAATTTGAGTCTATTTGGAGAGAATAGTGTAGACTTTAATTTCACAAATATTTTTTAAGGAAATTCCTTCTAGGAACTAAATTGTGGTTTTTAAAGTGTTTTTGCTCCATTTTTTAATTTGAGGTGATGTTGTTCAAATGATTCTTGGCAAATATAACCTATACTGCTTGCTTTTCATAATATATAAATGCTTTTTAAATAGCATCTCAGAACAGTTTCTATAATTTTTATTCTTTCAGGTAATAGGTGATGGTGTAGGCTTGAGGTCCATTGATGAGGTGGGTGGTAAAAATCTGAGGCCTGATCTGATCACTTTATAACTTGGTTCTGAGGTATGAGGGCAAACTTCATAAAACTCTTAGTATTTTTGGTTTTTGGAAGGAGAAATGTTCTAAGGAAAATTTACATGTTTAGGATTTGGATAAATTTAGGTAACTTGAGCTACTCAAATTTTAAACTAACCTAATAAGTTAAAACTTGTTTTCTTCCATTTTACATGTTGTCTTTGTTCAGAGGGATGGTAAGATACTTGATACCAGACATTTATTTCAGTTAGTCTTTTAGAGTATGTATTTCCTAGACATAGATACAGGAGGCTTTTATTTTTAGTTGGCATTGGGTCTGATATACTTAAGCTCCTATTTTTGCATGGAATGAAAATTAATATTCTGGTAAAATTTGTTGGAATATATTGAGAATGTATATTGGTTTATGCAAATTACCTAATTATCTAGTGTATTACCTTGCACAACACAAAGATATATTCTAAAGGAAAGAAAGTAACAAAATTGTGTATTAAATTATATTTGTTAATGGCCAAAAGTAATATAAGCACTTACAGGTATAAATATCTTCCTTAACATTTTATTAAGAAGTTTTAAAATATATAGCAAAGTTGAAAAAAATTTATAGTAAAATCCATAGACCCATCACTTAGATCCTGACATTAACATTTGCTATAATGATATATCATATATGTAACCATCTATCCGTTCATCAGTCTATCTTGTTTTTTTTTTATTTTTTTTTTTTTATGTATTTCAAAGTATTAGTATACTTCATCCTAAATAATTCAACATACCCATGTATGATAATTAAGTAGAGTTCACAAATACAGGGTTTTAGTGTTGCATTTTCCTTTCAGATGATGCTAAATAGTTAATATTGAAGTAATTTGAATATTAAGTTGTGTTAAATGAACTTTATAAAATACTAGTTGGAACACATAAGTTTGCGAGAAATTTCTAGGATCTGCTTTAACTCTCCCCTCTCTTTTTGTTGTTGCTTCAGTGGATTTTGCAGAAATCTTTTATTTTTTTAATGAAAGGTTTCTGCAAAATCATGGTTTTACCTCTGATCTTTAAAAAAATTATTACTTTTAAATGTTTTAATCTTATATACACAAGTTGTCCTCCAAAAATGTATACATACTTTGAATAATCATAAAGGCAGTGTTTATTATTCTTAAAAAAGAAACACAAAACAGCAATTGAGCTATCAATTATTAAGTATATATATACATTTTGGGGGGATACCTTGTATAATATATTTAAACCTCTGTTTTAAGACTTTAATTTTGCTGTTTCTTTTATTTTCCCCATGTTTTAAACTTAAGGTATTGTAATGAATAGTTGCTATGTCTGATGCTAGTTTTTAAAAATATTCATCAGTACATGTAGAAATTAGGATTATTTAATATCTTGATTAGCTGATTTCTAAAATAAGTTTAAGTTCTGGGACATCATTAGCTTTTTTATACATATAAAATTTGGCTTTTCAAATGTGGGTCATCTTAAATATGCTCTCATTGGAGATAAGACTTGTGAGTATTCTGCTTCCTGTGTCATAATTTTCTAATCTTACACTTTAAGATAAAAAATGTTGTTCATGAGATAATTAAAAAAAACTGTTTCCCTGTGTCTTATTTTTTTTGTATCTCTACAAATATTCATTTCTCTTGATAAGCCACATATAGAAACTTAATTCTAATTCAGACATGTAGGTAGAAGTTTGTAAAATTTACAAGTTATATAGTGCATATATGCTTTATTGTAGTGTAAAAAGAATCATTTCTTGCTTTCATTATTCTTTATAATACCTGTCATTTTGATATTTAGTACAAAGGAATGTGCTGCATGTGCTGAGCATTTTTTCTGCCAGTTTCTTTCCCCCTGATGTGCTATTTCACATATCACAGGCCTTATTTTTTGAATATTTGAGCAAAAGAAACAGTTGAAAGCTCATACAAAACCCTCCAAAATATGAAAATGTGGGTTTATTTGTGCTAATGCCCTTCTTTTGGAAATATATGTATTAAAGGTAAGGTCATTTAATTGATTTAAACCACATTGTATATAAAAATATATTAAAGTTGGTAAGACATTGTTCTTGAAATAAAAGATTTTTAACTTTTGGAATGAAATACTTAATCTGAATGTGCCAGAAAGATTAAAATTATTCCCAAATTGAACCAAAATATGAGAATATAATTTTCTGAAGATATTTTATGCAAAATTTGATTGGTCTTAAGCTTTAATATTATAATTTTTAGGACCTTATGGTTGGTGATGAGGCAAGTGAATTACGCTCCATGTTAGAAGTTAACTACCCAATGGAAAATGGCATAGTGCGAAACTGGGATGACATGAAACACCTGTGGGACTATACATTTGGACCAGAGAAGCTTAACATAGATACCAGAAACTGTAAAATCTTACTCACAGAACCTCCTATGAACCCAACCAAAAATAGAGAGAAGATTGTAGAGGTAAGTGTTTAGATAGAATGTATAATGTATATGTTTCTGAGTTGTTGTTGTTTTTTTCTTTCTAAAAATGTTCTTTTATCCTACCATTGTTGGTAAGGGTAAAAATAATTGTTTCCCCCTAGATCCTGTTTACTGAGCACCTAACTCTATGCTAGTCTTTATTTCTAAATAGGCTATAATGGTAAATGAAACAAAATTTTGCCGCCATGGAGCTTCCATTTTATTTTATTTTTTAATATATTTTATTGATTTTTACAGAGTGGAAGAGAGAGGGATAGAGAGTTAGAAACATCGATGAGAGAGAATCATCGATCAGCTGCCTCTTGCACACCCCCTACCGGGGATATGCCCGCAACCAAGGTACATGCCATTCACCGGAATCGAACCTGGGACCTTTCAGTCCACAAGCCGACGCTCTATCCACTGAGCAAAACCGGTTTTGGTGGAGCTTCCATTTTAGAAGGGCAAACACACACACACACACACACACACACACCCACACACACACACACCCACACCCACACCCCACACACCCACACACCCACACACACCTGTGATTTAATTGAATGGTTTGTTAGGAGATAATAGATGCTAAAGGGAAAAAGAGCAAGTTCAGGGAGAGGGGAAGTGGGGGAGGTTGCATTTGTACCTAGGGTGTGGTAGTGGCCCTGTGTGAGAAGGTGATGTTTAAACAAAGACACAGTAAGAGAGTTGGCCAGGATATATGGGGAAGAGCATTTCAGTCAGGCAAAGGGAGGAGCCAGAGTAAAGGTCTTAGAATGAGCTAGAAACATCAATGATGAGTGTAAGCCTAACATATTAAAGGGCCAGCCAAGAAGCTAGGCCTGCAAGAGTAACAGGAGAGTAGGTCAAAGAAGTAACAGGGCCAGATCACTAGGATCTTGTAGGCTCTTTTTTAATTTTTTATTTGTTTTTATTGATTTCAGAGAGGAAGGGAGAGGGAGCGAGAGCTAGAAACATCAATGATGAGAAAGAATCATTGATAAACTGCCTCCTGTGTGCCCTCCTACTGGAGATGGAGCCTGCAACCTGGGCATGTGCCCGTGACTGGAATCAAACCCGGGACTCTTCGGTCCGCAGGCCAATGCTCTATCTACTGAGCCAAACCAGTTAGGGCGACCTTGTAGGCTCTTACAGGAAATTAGACTTTTACTTCAAGTAAAATGAAGGGCTATTAAAGAGAGCGGACATGTTCAGATTTAGGTTTTTGTGCCTGTTGTGTTGAGTAGATTATAAGGAGGCAAGGATGGAAGAGAGACCTGTTTGGAGACTTTTTCAGCTATCTTTGCATAAGATAATCATTATTAGGATTGGGATAATAGCAGTGGAAGTAATAAGAAGTGGCCAGATTGTGGATCTACAGTATTTTGAATTTTCTGATGTATTAAATATAGGTAAGAAAGGGGATGATGCCAAAGGTTTTGACTTGAACAACTGGAAGGATGGGTTAGGATTGGGGGCCCAGGTAGAGATGGATCAGGAGTTTCATTTTGGACATATTAGATTCTCATGAGACATCTAAGCAAAAGTGTCAAATAGATTGTTGTATAAAATAAGATCAGGTTCAAGAGAAAAGTGTGAAGCTGAGGGTTTAAACTTAGGAGTCATCAGGACATAATATGGCTCACCAACGAAGTGAGAGTGGCCAGTAGTCCACAGGCTAAGGACCTGGGAGACAGGAGGAACAATTGAAATGAGATTGAAATGAGCTAAGCAGTTACAGAGAGTAAGAATTCTACATTCTTAGTTAGGTAAGTATCTTCTCAAGGTTGTCTTTCATTTTGTTATATATGAAGTAGAAACTTTTAATAACAGTATTTTAGTAGCTTTCAGTTACTACTTAATGTAAATATTTTGTATTTTGTATTTAGATGTTGATGGAAAATTTGGAAGGATTTGGAGATTGTTTTTAGACAATATTTTTTAAATTTAGATTAAAACTCAGTTTTTGTATTAAGTGTTTTAAAAATATGAGATCATGGTTTGAGGTACAGAATCCATATCATTCCTTATAGTTCATATGTTTTAATTCTTTTTTTCTCCTAGCTACACCTAAAACTGTGAAAGATGGGTTTTATTGTATTAATTCATATTTTAATTTTATTTTATACTTTAAAATGATTTACAACCACTAATATTTTGTGATGGATAAGAGGTCATTTGTAATTGCTATTTATTTTTAGCAACATAAACCTATTTAGGAAAGCAACATGATGTCTGAATGAAAAACAAATTTTCTTTAAGATAAAAAGTTAGGGAGATGACATTATACCTGGATCCCTTTTACTGTTTAAGGTTTTTTATACATATATATATGTACACACACACACACACACACACACACACACACACACACACACACGAGGCCCAGTGCACGGCATTCGTGTACTGTGAAGGGGATGGAATTCAGCCTGGTCTGCACCCTCTCTCAGTCAGGACCCCTTGGGGAATGTCCACCTGCGCAGAGCCTCTCCGCTGACCGCCCCTGAGCTCCTAGCCCCTGAGCTCCCAGCCGTGAGCCCAGCTTCTGGCTGAGTGGTGCTCCCCCTGTGGGAGCGCACTGACCACCAGGGGGGCAGCTCCTGCACTGAGCTTCTGCCCCCTGGTGGTCAGTGTGCATTATAGCTACCAGTCATTCTACCATTCAGTCGATTTGCATATTAGGGTTTTATTATATAGGATATGTGTGCAAAAATGCAATGAGTTGGTTTCACAGTGCTCTAAGGTCTCACCTTACTTTAATATCTTTATTTTTAGTTGAGAGTGCAAGTTTGGCTACAAGTAATAATGCCCTACTTTAATCTCATTCAAAATGTTGGTTTTAATACTATAAGTGCTTTTTATGGCCTTATAAGTAAAAACAAGTTCTGATAGACTTTCAGGTTGATAAATGCAAGCACTCTTCCATTTTTAGCCCTGTGGAGGGGGATTAGAGGATGATGGAATAGAGTACTAGTTAGAATATCTAATTGCTAACTGATAAGGATGCAGTTCGGAGTTGTAAAATTTAAATGCTTGTAATTGTGATTGTGGTCAGTTGTAAAATTTCTAAATACCTAGATATTCAGAGTGATAGTCAGCCCCTACTAGTTAAAGAATGCTCAATATATAATAGAAGACAGAAAAAGTCCTGCCAGTATTGTTCTTAGCTAACCTGGACTACGGGGGGAATGAGCATGGTTTCCACTAGAGAGGACACGAGGAAACTCCTTCTCTCTCCAGCGTAGTTCAGCTGAGTGGAGCCTTAGCTCAGGTAGTGAGTGTGGGCTCAGCAGTAACTAGGCAGTTCTGTATCTGCCAAAATTTAGGAATTGCTGCATTATTTTTTGCCTTCCTATTCTGATAGTTTTTATATATATATTTGATTGATTTCATAGAGGGAGAGGGAGACATAGAAACCTCAGTGATAAGAATCATTGATCAAAATAAAAATCATTGATTAGCCACCTCCAACATGCCCCTCCCTACTGGGGATCGAACTCCAAACCCAGTTAGGGTACTGCCTTGTTAGGAAATTGAACAGTGACCTCCTAATTCATGGTTGATGCTCAACCACTGAGCAATACCAGCTGGGCCCTGTTCTACTATTTTACTACCACTTTTTTTCTTTTAAACTGCTGGAGGTAGTTTGTCTTTGAATTAAAAAAATATTTTCCTTATAGGACATCAATTAAGAAAGGCTTGCTCAAATGTAGAATGTTTTCTTTTACTCTGATTAGCCATTAATGAAAACATTCCGAAACTTTTGCTTTGTAGCACTTATGAAATGCTTGGGGACTCAGGAAATATCCAAAATCCTATCCCTAAAATTGGAGCTCTCAAAGCAGAATTTAATCACGGCGAAGAGCACTGAAGGAAATGCAGGACTCTTAGGTCTCTTGATTCTATTTTGGCCAAAAACATAATTAGAATATGTAACTTCTAAATACCAATATATTTTTTTCTTTCCTTTGAATTTTCAGGTAATGTTTGAAACTTACCAGTTTTCTGGTGTGTATGTAGCCATCCAAGCTGTTCTGACTTTGTATGCTCAAGGTAGGTGAAGCTTAACTTTTAGAATAATCAATTCAGCAGATATTTATTATGTTTTGTGTCAAAGGAGTTTGATTTTTCAATAAGTTGTAAATCCCAGAAAAGCACAGCATTTATATGTATTATTTAGTTATTTAAAATATTATTTAAATATTTTCACAGCTTTTAAAAATTGTCAAATAAAATACATTTTATTTTCCTAACTAAAAAAGATTTCTCAGTTTTTAAAAAAGTACTATGTTCCCTGTTTAGGTTACTTTGAAGTAAAAAGTTTTTATGCAGTGGGAAATGAATATGAAATTTGGCTTCAGAATTGGTAGTTGGGAAAAAGAAAGAAAAGCAGATCTAAAAAGATTGGTATAGCCCAGCTGGCGTGGCTCAGTGGTTGAGTGTGACCTATGAACCAGGAGGTCATGGGTTTGATTCCAAGTCAGGGCACATGCCCAGGCTGCTGGCTCGATCCCCCGTGTGGGGCGTGCAGGACGTAACCCATCACTGATAGTTTCTCATCATTGATGTTTTTAACTTTCTCTCTCTCTCCCTTCTTCTCTGAAATAAAAAAAAAATATATTAAAGTTAATAAATAAATAAAGATTAGTACAAAAGCATGCTTATCAGATACATAATAAATACAAAGAAGGTAGACATTTGGGAGTATTTGCCTAACTTTTGGGGTATAGATTTAATGGAGGGGGCTACTATGTTTTCTTGGAATGCCATTAGTACCTGCCTCCCTATCTCTTGGGAATAAAATATTAGTCATGTTAGAAAGAGTTCTTTAGATTCTGATGGTCTCATTGAGGATTGTAGGGCTGCTAGATAGGTGCCACAGAGTCTGTTAGGTACTTGAAATATATAAGATTCTAGTCTGTATGGGGAAAAAAGATATAAAAACAGATAATTTTGATTCAGCACACCAGAGAAGGTTTCTGAAGGAGGTGACACCTGAGCTAACTAAGTCTCAAGCCCTAGTACCTAAGTAGCCGAGTGTATGATCTGGTACATAGAAAACACACTAATATCAAGGTGAGCCACCTGACTCTACCTGTGGATTAGTAAAAATCACCATGTAAAAATTACGTATTGGTTTTTTTAAAGCTGTCTTATTACTACATATAGATACTTAGAAGATACTTAGAGGAACTAAGTGTGGCTTGTACCTTAACACTGTTGTGCATAGGATAAGACAGCGAGTCTTCTTGCCTTTAAAGCAATTACAGCCCAGCTATGAGTAGTTTCTCCTTTGAAGAAGGAATCAAAATTCACTTTTACCTGGCTGGTTGAGTGTTGACCTGTGAACCAGGAGGTCACAGTTCGATTCCCTGTCAGGGCACATGCCTGGGTTGGGAGCTCAATTTTGAGTAGGTGGGTGCAAAAGGCAGCAGATCAGTGATTCTCTCTCATCATTGATATTTCTCTCTCTCTCTTTCTCCCTCTCCCTTCCTCACTGAAATCCATTTTTAAAATTAATTTGTTACTTTATAAGGAGTGATTATCTGCATGTAAGTAATTTTGTTTCATTAAAATAAAATAAATTTCAGAATTTATTTTAGAAAATACTTTTTAAAAATTAGAAATTTTTAATATCTAAGCTTTGAAACTGGTGATTATAGTTCAGTTCTGCTGAAATGGAACTTTGGTTTGACTTGTTCTTGAATAAAATTGACCTTAACAGATTTTTCTAGCAATACTCGTAAATTTATTTTCATTCAATGAGAAGTTATCCTCTCTTAATTACTGATATTTAGCTATTTTTAACTGTTGAATATTTAATTTGAGTAATGATAATCGAGTGATAATAATCAAAAGAACTCAAGCCATAGTAAAATTATCCTTGTAAACAAGTTGTCTAGTGCTACTAGTTAAAAAAAAAAAAGTAGGAAGAACCATTCAGAGCCATGAAAGAAGGTTTTTATTTTACATTGATATTTGAGAGAGAAATAGAAACATTGATTTGTTATTCCACTTATTTATGCATTCATTGGTTGATTCTTATATATGCCCTGACCAGGAATCAAACCTGCAACGTTGGTGTATCGGGACGATTCTCTCACCAACTTAGCTATCCGGCCAGGGCTCATGGAAGGTTTTTTGAATAAGAGAGGTGGTGACATGGTGATTTAGGGAGGTATGTTTGAACTCATGTACAGACAGGAGTGAAGGGAGTAAGTGGAATTAGAGAATTTGGGCTAGATATTAGAGTGGTCAGGGAAGGTATAAACAAACAGGTAGGTACTGGGTTGAGCCTTAAAAGACCCCATCAAAATTGAAGTAGAGAAAATACATAATCCAATGACAAAAGGGTCACTGAAAATGGGTCAGATGTGTACAGGGAAAGAAAAACCAGTATGCAAGCTGGTGGGAGTGGTAGGAAACAATGTGAGGTGGTATGGAGAGGCCTATTTGGAAAATAAATGTAAATACCTGCTGTAATTAATATTACTGGGAGTATTATGGATGTTGTGGATGCCTTTCTATTTTTTGAAATGGAAAGTTTTTCTTAGGAGAATGCAACATTAAAAGGCTGTATATGATTTTCATGAAGCTTAGAATATCAATCAAGGAAAAACAAATTATTTTGTTAGCTTCAAAAGAAGGTGGTTTGAATAAATGTATTCAGAGACAAATCATTACAATTAGATACTATAGTGCATGCAAGTTTATATTGATAAGAAAAGGAGCGAGCTGAGAGCTATTAGGGAATGGGAAAATAATAAAGGAATGCTTAAGCACGTTATAGATAATGCACATTCTGGTTAAAACATTTTTTTTAAATAATTAAAAAATGATTTTTGTGTTATTTGTTTTGTTTTGTTTTTGTTCCCCCCAAATTAACACTGGTACAAAAGGCAAAACACTAACTTTTGCAGCCATTTATATTTTTAAATAGCACAAATGAGAAACAAGGCAGCTTTTTTGCTGTTCTTTTATTATAAGATTTAATTGACATTGTCTTTCTGGTTTCTGGTGAATAATTGAGGTTATCCTTTAGCTAACCCAGATTACTTGTTCTCAAATTCTAGCTATCTACAATAATATCAAGGGGAATTTCCCCGAAACAGCACAGTTTTGAATATACTATGTGGCAAAAATAATAATATAGAATTAGATTGTTTCAACAGGTTCACTATCCTCTTGTGTAGTGTTTACCTTTTACAGTGGTTTTCACAAAAGTTATTTGATATATTTTAGAAAATTTTACTTCAGGGAAATTCGGAGATGAAGATGAAGTTGGAAAGAAAAAGAAGGAATTGCACTGAGCGTTAAGAACATGTGTTTCAGGATTGGTTTTTCCCCATTTCTTGGGGTAACACATGATTAGACTAACATTCTCAGAAGTAGTATGTAAGAGAATACCAACTTTAGTGTCTGTAATTAGGAACACACTTTAAAATAAATGATAAAGAAATGCTGGCTGCTAGACCATTATGATTAGTGAAGTTTCTAGTTTGGCTTCTATACTAATAGTTGAAATTTTCTGGTTTTGATTTTTCTGACTTGGCTTTACTCTACTTAAAACCTCATGTTTCTTACACAGGCTTATTGACTGGAGTAGTGGTGGACTCTGGAGATGGTGTAACTCACATTTGCCCAGTTTATGAAGGCTTTTCTCTCCCTCACCTTACCAGAAGACTGGATATTGCTGGGAGGGATATTACCAGATATCTTATTAAGGTAAGCAAAAGACAAAGTCTTAGAAGTTGGATTTGTAGGTTGACTTAACACAGAAGTTGAATGAATCATCTCAGGATTCTAGCAAATTTTCTGCATCACTAGTAAAATGGCCCAGTTGCTATTTTACTTCAGGGAAATTTACTCCATATGAGATTTATAGACGAGATCTCTGCTATACTAATGAGAATGTGTTATTTCATTATATTATTATGTTTGCTATTCCTGGGGAAAGGATAGAGAGGTATTTAAAAGATAGAAGATACCATAAAACTACCTTGAACAACTTAGGCAGCCTTTTCTGCCATAAAGCCTTATTTTGAACAGATATATATCAAAGCTATAATGCTGCTTAGGTTGACTGTTCTTGTCCTTCCTCATAAAACATGTTGATAGCAAAGTAATATTTGATTAAAAATAGGGTCCAAATGTGCCCGACTTTAATATATAGTAATTTTCATGGAACATATCCAATTTTCAGTGTTTGGTATTTTAAAGTTTACTTCTTACTGTAATTAGTTATAATTTTCTTTAAACCATTGCTGGAGAAAGTATATTAGGCCACTGTTTGGAGGCATGAGTATTTTTTTAATGTTTAAAAAAATTGGTTAGAGAATTGTCTGTACCAGAATTCTGTAGTTACATCTCCTCTGGGTCAGTGGCTTTCAACCAGGGATGATGCTGCCCTACAGAGACATTTTGTAATGCCTGGAGACATGTTTTGGATGTTATAACTGCAGGAATGCTATTAAACATCCTGTAATGAACAGAGCATCCTACAATGAACAGTCCCCACAACAAAAATTATAGTGTCCATAATGTGTATGGTGATGTCTGTACAATAAATTGGGTTGCATTGAATCTTTATCTTGACATTGAGTTTCTTTAGTCTCAAATTAGAATAATAATGAGGTTAGGTTAATGAGAGTTATAATATACTCATTCTAGGCCAAAGTTCTGTCTTAGGGTAACCACCAAAGGAATTTCCAAGGATGTTACACAAAGATTAGGGGATTTGTTTTTAGAGATTTTATATGAAAAGTTCAGTTGTGTTTATATGCATATTATGTTTTTATTGAGGATTTTTTCCCATTAGCAGGTTGAGTTCCCCCTCGCCCCCCCATTTGTTTAATATGCTATTGTCCATCTGTCGTGTCAGACATTATGGTACTGATTGAGTAAATTGCTGATAATATGAATTTGTGACTAAAATAATACTTATTTACTAATACTTAATGTTTATAAAAACTATCTAAACATTAGTATTCAAGCAGTACTCTTTCTTAAAACTAGCTTGTTTTACCTGTTACTCATGAACTTTTGATTCTGTCACTCTGAAGCTTCTCTGCAAAACTGAAATAAATTCTTCTAAGGTAAAGTAATGTCCCTGTTTCTGAAATACTCAGAGTTAAGGATCCACTACCTATTGCATTTGTTCTTTATGTGACATACTTAGTGAGCAATTACAGCTTTTACAGAGTTGAACTCATTCAGATTAATTGTGAATTTATTGCCTTTTTTTTTTTTTGTATGTGTGTGTGTCAGCTGCTTCTGTTGCGAGGATACGCCTTCAACCATTCTGCTGATTTTGAAACAGTTCGAATGATTAAAGAAAAACTGTGTTATGTGGGGTATAATATTGAGCAAGAGCAGAAATTGGCCTTAGAGACCACAGTATTAGTTGAATCTTACACAGTAAGTATTTCCCATGTTTTAAAATGAATAACAATGTTTATTGCTGTGTGCTTAAGGCGGCTTTCTTGGAATGCAGTTTCTTAATGAGATGTTGAAAACAAATGTGAACTTGAAATTATAACACAGAGACTTAGAACTTGGTTATAGTTTATATGAGGGGATTTTCTCCGACCTGTTTTTTATTTTTTTATTTTTGTTAATCCTCACATGAGGGTATTTTTTCCATTGATTTTTAAACAGAGAAGGGACGGGGAGAGAGAGAGTCATAGGTTGGTTGCCTCCTGCACATTCCCTGACCAGGGCTGCAGATTGAGCTTGCAACTGATGTATGTGCCTTTGACCAGAATCAAACCCGGGATCCTTTAGTCCTGGGGATGATGCTCCAACCACTTACCCAAACCAACTAGGACCAGACATGAATTTTTAATGTATTGCTATCTTAAGTCTATCATATGCATCTGGGTATCAAATGCTTCCAGATCTCATCTTTAATCTAATTATTATTAAAATGAAGTACAATAATAGGCAGTAAAAGCAAGTGTTCTTAAACATTTGATTCGTGTAAGCTCTGTATGTCCCAAATATATAGTCATTTTAATAAAAATAATTACACATTTTTATGAGTTATATTGTCTTATTTTTAAAGATGCAGATACAAATGGTAACCTAATATTGTGTGATCTGCCCCAGATTTGCCTTGGGGATTCTTTCCTGAAGCTTTCTTGATAGTTCCTCTAGATTTATAATTTTATCTCCCTGCCTTGTTTGGAAGAAAGTGGCATGAGACAAAGGATGAGGGAACCAAGACTGTAGGGCAGGTTTTATTAATTTCCTCCTTTCTCAAAGAATCTGGGGCAGGTTACAAAATATGTACAACAGAAAAGAAACAGCAAACTGATAAGTGAGGAGGGATCTGGGTGAACAAATAAAGGATAGAGTAAGATTTGATGCAAAGAAATGGGAACCATTCCATCCTAACAGCTCCTGGGGGTAGGCAGTTCCTAGAGAAGGTGGCTCCAATGTGCCAGTAGCTAGTGTCCAGGGAAGTCACACCATCAGAGAGGCTAGAAATGTAAGGTACAGAGATTTTACTAAAAACGCTTTGCCTTGCGTCCTTTTTCCAGGTATCTTGGAAAGATGTGGTTTTTAATTTCACCTGTTTTTTTTTATTTTTTATTTTTCTAAGGGTAAATGTTTGGGTCAGTATCTTTTTTTGCTTTTCTTAAGACATTTGATAAAATTTATAAAAAGATAATTCTGGAGTTTTTGAAAACTGTGATTGTTTTGCATATATCTGTAAACAGTTATAGCAAACGTAGTAAACTTTTAAAAGAACTTGCTCTGTGTGAATTTGTTGTATTTGGAAAGTCAATTTTGGAATCTGAATATAATTATTGTAATTAATGTAAATTAAATACACTATGAGAAATATCAATGTAAAAGTAATTCTGTTATCTCATAAAGAATGCACTAAATGCCAGCATACACAAGCATGCTTGTTACAAAGGTCCGTCCAGTGAATTATGAGGTGATTTAAGAGAGGGAGTTTTTCTTTAACATTTCTCATCTAATTAAATATAAACAAGAAGTGACTAAAGAGTTTTCTGCACAAAGTCATCTAACAATTCCTGACCTGTTGTTTAAGTCTACTTTGCTTAAATTAATATTTCTTCATTATCATTTAAAATTTAATAGGACATAATAAATAGGATACAAAAGAATTGCCTAATAAAAAATAGTCCAGATCAATATTCCTTAAACTTTTTTGATCATAAAGTAATTTTGGATTAAATTATTTGACAGAAGTTCCACACATGATATAAAGTGTTTTGATAAACAAAATAAGTTTCACAGAGTAATTATTTGGTGAAAGAAATTATTTAAAATTTTTAATTGAATCTGTTTATGCTATATGGTAAAAATATTTATAAAATTACAAATGTGTTAATAAGAGAAGCAGCATTGACACCAGGTATAATTCAAGAGCAATGGTTGATAATGCTGCCTGTTTATGCTTAGCTCTACACCAGTGAAACATCCTGTACTTACACATTGGTGATTTCTCCAAGAAATTCCTGATCCTTGGGACAAGGCATACCATTTTTAAAAGCAGAGTAGAGTATGGTAATAAAAACCTATCTAACAATATTTTAGTTTACTTTTTTTTCTCTTTTCAAAAATGTATTTTGGGAGAAATATGTTGCTGATAATAATTTTGACTATAAAACAGATGTGTTTAAAGGTATTTGTGTTAGGGAGAACACTGAAAAATGTTTTAATCTCTTACTGACTAACACTTGGTTGATCTTGGTTTCTAGCTCCCAGATGGCCGCATTATCAAAGTTGGGGGAGAGAGGTTTGAAGCACCGGAAGCTTTATTTCAGCCTCACCTGATCAATGTTGAGGGAGTGGGTGTTGCTGAATTGCTTTTTAACACAATCCAGGCGGCTGACATTGATACCAGGTATGTTAGACATGGTGGTTTCAAAGTTATTTATCAGAAAAAGAAATTGATGGATTATACATAGTTGGAATGACCAAGTTGCCTGTTGCCTTATGTATTTATTTACATAAGGCAAAATAATTTTTTGATAGGATGGTACTTGATGTTTACCACATTGTATCATTGTGTCTCAGAAGTCATTTTAAACTGTATTTTGAAATTAACATAAACCTGAAAAGTTGCTAGGATAATAAAGAGAACTCGTGCATACTCTTTATCCATTTTACTAATGTTCTACTGTACATGCTTGCTTTATTATCCCCTCTTTTTTTCTTGAGCTATTTGAAGGATGAATGTCAAGTCCTCTTTACTTCTTAATATTTACTTTGTAGTTTCTAAAAACAAAAATATTCCCTTACACAGCCACAGTGTCGTTATCAGATACAGGAGATTGATTACTAATAAATAATTTTTATATATTATTTACTAGAGGCCAATGCACAAAATTTGTGCAAGAGTAGGCCCTTCTTCCCCTGGCTGCTGGCCCCGGCTTTCCTTGCAGTCCCGGCTTCACCGGAAGGATATCTGGTCTGATTGGCATATTACGCTTTTATTATTATAGATTAAGCCTTACATGATGATTTTTTTTTTCTTCTATTTTTAGAGAATGGAAGGGAAGCAGGGGAGGGGAGGAGCAAGAGAGACATTGATGTGAAGGAAACACATCAATTGTTTGTGCGGGATTGAATTTGCAGCCTAAGCACATACCCTTGGTCAGGAATCAAACCCTAGCCACACCATCCAGGGCATTACTGATAAATACTTAAATCTGCCATACAGATTTCAGTATCATCCAATATCCCAGTATGTCCTTTATACTGTTTTTCTTTTCTCCAGTAAAGTAATAAATCTAGGATCACACATTGTATTTAGTTGACACAACTCCTAGACACTTTTTATCTGCTACCAGGTCTCAGTTTTTCATGATATTGACATCTTTGCAGAGTACAGACCAATTATGTTAGAGAATGTATGGAGGGAGGCCTATTGATGTTTCTGTTCTGTGTCCATGCTTCTTCCTCCCTCCCTCCCTCCCTCCCTCCCTCCCTCCCTCCCTCCCTCCCTCCCTCCTCTCCTCCCTCCCTCCCTCCCTCCCTCCTTCCCTCCTTCCATCCATCCCTCCTTCCTTCCTTCCTTCCTTCCTTCCTTCCTTCCTTCCTTCCTTCCTTCCTTCCTTCCTTCTTCCCTTCCTTCCTCACTTCCTTCTTCTCTCCCTTCCTCTCTCCTCCCTCTCTTTCACTTCCTTTCTTTCTCTCTCTGGGCATGTCTTTGGGTGAGGATTTAAAAAAAGAAAAAGAAAAAAGATATATTATCTGCCCTGGCTAGTTAGTTCAGTTGGTTAGAGCTTTGTCCCAGTACGCCAAGGTTGCAGTTTCAATCCCCAGCCAGGGCACATACAAGAATCAACTAATGAATGCATAAATAAGTGGATCAACAAATTGATGTTTCTCTCTCTCCTTACCTCTCTATCTAAAATCAAGCAATACATTTTTAAAAAGATATGTAATGTTTTATTTTATTGCATCTGGAGTTTGAGTCATAGTTAGAAAGCCCTCCTCTACACTCAGTTTATTAAGCCTTCACTCGAAAGTATTTTGTAAAGCAAGTGTTTGCTTACTTAACACTGAATTAAATATCCACCTAATTTTTGTGGGATGTCTGGGGAGTAGGATAATAATGGAAATGAATAAAATATTGGCTCATAATATCTATATATATATATCAAAGCCTAGGCAACCTTTATGACTAGAATGACTGGTTGCTATGATGTGCACTGACCACCAGGGGGTAGACACTCAACGCAGGAGCTGCACCGCTGGTAGTCAGTGCACAGTGGGAGCGCTGCTCAGCCAGAAGCCGGGCTCACGGCTGGCAAGCGCAGCTGCAACGGTGGGAGCCTCTCCCACCACCACAGCAGTGCTACCGAGCAGTGGCAGTAGACGCAATGGGGCCAGCATGAGCAGGAGGGGCAGGGTGCCTGGCCCAGCTTGGGCTCCTCCCCAGCCACCTGCTGCTTAGGAACTGCTACATCCCCCGAGGGTCCCGGATTGCGAGAGGGCGCAGGCCAGGCTGAGGGACCCGGCCAGGCTGAGGGACCCCACCCATGCATGAATTTGTGCACTGGACCTCTAGTAAATCTGTAAATCTAATGGAGGATGATAAAACATCTAACCTAGACTTCATAATGATGATAAATTCTAATAATAGGAATTAGATGATTTTGTCCTTTGATTTAATGAAAATTGTATTTTAAAAGTGCATTTCCTATTCGTGGTGATTCAAGTTTAGGCATTCCTAAAACACTGGAGTCAAGGTCAGCCCCTCTCCACAGACCCAGAGTAGAAAGGAGCACAACTCAAAATTTTGTTTGTTGTATGTTCTACATATTGAAGGCATGCATGTAAATGCTCGTGTTACATATCACATGTAGCCATACTTCAGCTGCTTGGCTTATGGGACATGCATGTGTGTACTTCTGCAATTAAAAACAAAAACTCTGTTCTTCTAGAAGATAGAATTACAGTAGCTTGAGCCATTGAGAACCTGGGAGTAACTACTAAAGACACAAAGCCAATTTGAATGAAGCCAGAATGAATGTGACTTGGCTTCTGAGCTTTACAATGAGAAGAATTCCTCGGACCCTCCCTCAGATTATGTTTTACTACATATGTAGCTATTTTATATTTGATATAACTAACAGCATATTCTAAGGAAAGAAGTTTACTACAGGAAGCAAACATGTTCATCAGTCTAACAAAAAATAACAGCGACAGCTTCAAGGCAAAGGAATAAAAGGGGAAACTACAGTACAAAAGGGAAATGGAAAAATTGAAAAGCAAGAACTGGGAACATAATAGAATATGGTTTTTAGAGTAAGCAGCCACTTCCCAGAGGCTCCAGAAAGCACTGTTATAACAGTCCAAATACTGATTGATTGTAATGTACACTGGTCATTATTAAAAGACTCGGTTACATTTGCAAGAAAGTATCATGCTTTAGAAGTGGATTCATCAAAATTGTAACATTTTATATGAAAGGAGGGCATGTTATTCAATAATAGTAGGAATAGCTAACATTTAGCCTGTGGTTTATACGTTGAATTTTATTTAATTTTCCTGGCAACTGGCTGACATAAATAACAGGAACTTTGAGATGCTGTTTTCCTAATCTGAAACCCTAAATGGTTACCTATTGTGTCTTTCTAGATCTGAATTCTATAAGCACATTGTGCTTTCTGGAGGGTCTACAATGTACCCTGGACTTCCATCACGGTTGGAAAGAGAACTAAAACAGCTGTACTTAGAACGAGTTTTAAAGGGAGATGTGGAAAAGCTTTCTGTAAGTATCAGTAATCCAACTAACATATCAATATTTAAAACCCTGTAAAGTAGCTTGTGAATCCTGCCAGCCACCAGAGGGCGCAAGAAGTCTTTCTAAACAAATTTCTAATCCAGTCAAGTACAGCCTTGAAGAGAGAGGAAGAACTAAATGGTTCAGGGTCATAAGGACTGTCCCAGAATGGTCCTATTGCATGGTCACTTGTGTATTCAGTGGATGGAAACGAGTAGGTCCAAGACCAAACATTCTGGTTTATCTGTGATGACTAGCCTAGAATCGAGGTGTCTGAAATGCACGAGAAGAACCTACTGTACTCTGGAGGGATAAATGCCCCATTTGGTGGTTTGGGATTTTTGTTGTTGTTGTTGTTTTGTTTTTAACTTTTTGGATATTTAATCAGCCTTCATTGCTAGTCTTGGACTCTAATATTTCTGATTTTAGGTTATTTTCTGGCTTTTTCTTACATAAGTCTTAGCTCTCCAATCAGATTATATAACATCATGTCTCCAGTTTTTTTGCATCTCCATCAATTATCATAGTTTCTGAAATAAACTTTAATTGGTAGTTGTTGGTAAGTGTAGAAAGAAAATTTTAAACTACTATGTAATAGTTAATGGTTGTTTGACGATTTTTTTTCTTACAAACTGGACTGTGAAGTACAATACCGTGCTCAACCAACAGTCATTTAATACTGAATGAATCAGGTTTGTCTCATGGACTTTAATCAGCTGTATTAGATGAGATTACACATTACGAGGACTAACTGTACATATTGGAGACACTAATAGTATATTTTTCATATGTGACCCAAAGTTGGTGAAATTAAATTGAGTGTGGACACACATACATTAAATAAATTAAAAGGCTGAAACAATCCATATTGTCCAAGTCCTTCACTCGTCTGATTTTATTGAGTTATACATATACTCTAAAATCGATTTCAGGTGGTCATTTATTTATTCAGCATATGTTTGTTGAACTCCTTCTGGGAGACAAACACTGGGATAAACAAAATAGTAGTGACCAAAAACCAAATCCCTGCTTTTAGTTTGTGAAGGATAGCATGTCAGCAGTGATAAATACTATGAAGAGAAGGAAAGTAAGGTTGGGGGTGAGAAAGTGATAGGAGTTGTGGACATGGTGTGTTCCTTCATGTAGTATGATTGGGGAAGGCCTCGGGTGAGAAAACTGTTGAGCAGAGACCTGAATGGAGTGAGGAAATGAGCCATGTGACTGACTCTTTAGGGGAAGAACCTTCTAGGGCCTAGAATCTAGGCAGAAATAGCAAGTTGGTGGGAGCAGGTAGGTATGGCTGGAGCTGAGAGCAATGCAGAGGCCTGGGAGGTGAGGTCAGAAAGACAGCCAGGACACAGTATGCTGAGTTTGACTTTGCTTCTAGTGAAATTGGATTTTGAGCAGAGAAAGGATAGGATCTGACTTGTTTTTAAAGGGTCATTAAGTCTGCTGAACATGCTTTGAGGGGAGGGGGAGAGGTGAATGCAGAAAGACAGGTTAGGATGCTCTGAGAGGAGGGAGGAAGTGGTAGAGGTTCATAGAATGGAGGAGGAGTAACGTGTCCTAGAGGGGGGGGGGGGGGGGGATGTAATGGGATTGCCGAGCCGCACTAGGGCTCAGTTGAAGTGAGTGATACACTGGAAGTAAGGGGTCAGTTTTTCTCCTGTGGTGTTCAGTTGCTTGAGGGCAATGCAAGTAGAGAGGTGATCACCTGAGTTGCAGTTTTGTCAAATGAGGGTGAGAGGGAGAGGACAAAGTCACCAAGGATAATGTCAGGAAATGGTGGAGAGTGCAGACACTCACGCAGTGAGCAGATCTGAGGAGAAATCACCTGGGATCTGGAGATGACTTAGGCCAGGAAGAGTGGCCGGAGTTTCTGAGGGCCTGTGGAGTGCAGGGAGGAGAGAGGAGCAGCAATGAAGAATAAGAGGAATGCTCGCCGAGACCGGTTTGGCTCAGTGGATAGAGCATCAGCCTGCGGACTGAAAGGTCCCGGGTTCGATTCCGGTCAAGGGCATGTACCTTGGATGCGGGCACATCCCCTGTAGGGGGTGTGCAAGAGGCGGCTGGTCGATGATTCTCTCTCATCGATGTTTCTAACTCTCTATCCCTCTCTTCCTCTCTGTAAAAAATCAATAAAGTATGTTAAAAAAAAGACGAATGCTTGTTACTAAGTCCCAGGGTCAGGAAGTGCAGTGAGAGGGAAACAGCAGCCAGCTGAGAAAGCTTCAGGGGAGCCCAGCTTCCCTTACAGCGGCAGTCAGCCTGCAGTCCTGTGCCCCAAACAGCTGTGCTGCTGTCAATACAATTGTATTGGACACAGCCAGACCATTTTATATGGCGTTACCTACCATCACACATTTTCTATAGCTACTGCCCAGGGAGACCTGCAAAGCTTCAAGTATTTGCTATCTAGCCCTTTACAGAAATAGTTTGCTGACCCCTACCTAAGAGCAAAACAGTAATTCAAATAATCAGAATAGTAGGTTAGCCTCAGAGTTGATAACTGGTGTTTTTCTGACATGTATTATCCCATCCTACGATTCATTTATGTGACATAAAGGTATTTTAGAATGACAGTTATTTTGAGTCCTTTCGCAGGATTTGTGGCACTGTTAATAAAACTGCTGCATCATTTTAAGGTTTCATTTTAAAAATATATATTTTATTGATTTTTTTTTTTTTTTTTATAGAGAGGAAGGGAGAGGGATAGAGAGTCAGAAACATCGATGAGAGAGAAACATTGATCAGCTGCCTCCTGCACACCCCCCACTGGGGATGCGCCCATAACCAAGGAACATGCCCTTGACTGAAATTGAACCCGGGACCCTTCAGTCCGCAGGCCGACCCTCTATCTACTGAGCCAAACCGGTCAGGGGTTTAAGTTTTCTTTTAGGTGTTAACGGACCATACAGATTGAGGTGTGTCCTTGTTAGGCAGTTAATACTGGCCATAGAGGTTTTTTGTTTTTTGTTTGGGCCATAGCGTTTTAAACTTTTCCCACTTGTCTTTCATTTGGTTACTGTGTTCCATTTTTTTTCCCCAATGCCCCAGGATTTATTTTGACCATATTTGGCATTTTGAGAATATTTTTATTTGAATTTGAGAAAGTAGAAAGAGAGCTTTGCTTGTAAGAAAAGAGTTTCAATCTTTCTCTATTGTACAGGACTATAGTCATAGCAGTGTTAGACCCTGAAGAAACCACAGAAGTCCCCTTATCTAAACTCTTCATTTGACAGCTAACTAAGTCTTGGTCAACCCCTGTGTTCATCCACCAGTTGATGGGAAAAGCTGCCGCAAGCAGAATCTGGTATTTGGGCTCACAATAGGGTGATCATGGGATTTATCATTCAAATTAGGACACTTGATAGGGCTGTTACTAATGGGGTAACAGGTGTAAATCAGGACTGTTCTAAGCACACAAGGTGTGAGCTTTGGGCAAATTACAGGATGTCTCTACCTCAGATGCCAAATCCTGCAGTCCTCCTTACCCACAGGACGTTGGTGAGAATTCAGCAGGCGAACGTATGAAGAAGTGTTAACCAGCACAAAGCACGCACAGGTGACATTTGATCATCTCTTTCTTCTTTTAGAAATTTAAGATCCGTATCGAAGACCCTCCCCGCAGAAAGCACATGGTATTCCTGGGCGGTGCCGTCCTAGCAGACATCATGAAGGACAAAGACAACTTCTGGATGACCCGGCAGGAGTACCAGGAGAAGGGCGTCCGCGTGCTGGAGAAGCTCGGCGTGACTGTTCGATAAACTCCAAAGCCTGTGCCCATCACACCCTCACGCTTTCTTTCCTCCTCTATTGCCAATCTTTGAACTCATTAAATTCCAGGACACGGATGAGGCCCCTCTTTAACCTTTAACTGCAAAGGTCAGATTTTATTCTGGAGTCTTGGGGAAGCTTTGTTAAATTTTTGTTAATGTGGGTAAATCTGACCGTTGAATGCAACCACTTCCTTACAAACACAAGGAGAGGGCAAAGGGTCCTGTCTGCTGCTTTTGTCTCTGCTGAGTAGGCGTTTAGATCATTCCTGCAGGCTTCCTAGTTTCACTTGACTGCTCTAATGCTGCTATTTCAGCGCACTAGGTGGTATGCCTTTATTAGCATAAGAAAAACTTCACCAGGAGCTTTTACACGTTGCTGGGGTGGGGGGTGAGGGATGGGTGGGAAGCTGCTGAACCCTTTAGGGCGTTTTGTCTGTAGTGTGAGGCTTTCAACAAAGACTGAAGTACCTTACAGCTCTGGTATTAACTTTTTAGGGACATATTGGGCTCAGGACTAAATTGTATTGGGTGGGTGTTTGTGTGTAGGGGCCAGGGGAGGTGATCTTTAGATTTTGATTTTTGAGCTCTTCTGCTCTGGGTACAAACGAACTTTATTTACAGTATTTTGATTTGGCAGGTTTTCTTCTACTTTTGGTCTGCCTGGAACGGTTTTCATATGATAGAAAAAAATAAGTATAGTATCCCATTACCATGCGTAGCGATTTTCTTTTTCTTTTTTTTTTAAATCAACCATGTTATCTGGGACTAGACTCCCTAAAATCTATCAATAGAAAAGTAACCTTTTTAAAAATGCTATTGGGACATTCAAATTACAGATTTAAAAAGAGCTTAAGAGCTGGTATTTCCTCAGAGTTTCTGTTTATACCAGAAGCATTAGGGTAAATCCAGTGCCAAGTATCATTCTTGCAAATTATTGTTTTAGATAACTGACCAGTGACTTATTTAATAAAAAAAAGAGTAAAAACATAAATAATTACTGGCAGTAGGTTATAATGGTTGGGTTAAAAATAACATTGAAATATGGGACCTATTGTCAGTTGGGTAATTTTCATTCATTGTTTTTATTTGTTTGTTTTGATTTGAACCTTAAGGAGAGTAAAATTTGACTATTTAAAATGTTAGCCAAGAAAAAAAGTCAAGATTTAAATTTGTATCTGTATTAAAAAATTAGTCATAACAACACAATCACAGCCGTTTTATGCTTGAAAGAAGAATTGTTGGTAATTTATAAATGTTAGCAGACCTTCCTTTCTATTTCAGAAAATCATATTTATGAAGTCTGTCAGAATTACTTGGTGTCTGAAAAAATACTCAGGCCTGAATTCTTTCTAAATTTGAAAAACAAAGTAATAAGAAATTATACCACGCTGAGTACAAAATGTAGAGTCTGAGGGGAAAAGTTTTTTTTTTTTTTCCCCCCACAAAAAATTATTTACTAATAATGAAAAGAAAACTTTGCTTTGAAAGGAGAAGCTTATTTTTCTGGGTAACTGAAATCAGAGAAATTACTGGCTTTAGAGTCTCTTTTGTGAGAAAACTTAAAAATCAGTTTATATGAAACAAGCAGCAAAAGGAGGCTAGTTTTCATTATGCAGCTTCTGTTATTATTAAGTATTTTTTCTCTTTTTACCTCAATTTGAACAAATAAGAGAAGTTTGCCTGCATGCTGGCCATGCTTCAGTACATGTGAATAGCCTATGAATAACATCTGCTAGATTTTAGGGACTAGATGTCTGAGTGTTTGGGATTCTAATGTGTTCCTAAATCATGTTCTTATAAATCCCCCCAGCCTTTTGAGTACTGGACTTTTGTAAAGAACACACATTTGTAGGACCAGTACCTACTAGCTGTTCATTTCAGGTAAATGGATTGACTCTTGGCCTTTGGTCATGACTTTATAATATGGGGGCAGAAAACAACAAACAATAGGATAGGCTCTTAAATAAAACAATGAAAGAGCACTTATCATCTGTCCTTTGTAGGATTTGGTTTTAATTTCATATTCTGCTAGCAAACATGACATTAATATGGTGTATTAATATATATAGTATAATTTTAAATTTTCATTTTATAATTTTCCTATTCCAAGGTGAAATAATGCATTTAGAAATTTTGGGGGTGGGTGAAGTATTGTGTTTAATTGCATTTGTCTAGTGTGAGTTTCTCAAAATTTTTTCTGTTTTGAAAGAGATATGATATTTAGCTCTTAAACCATTGTCATTTAAATTTCTAAAAATGATTAAAATTACTTTCTTTTAAAATTAGGATTGCTAATACCTTGATATTTGAGAAGGGCTTCTTAGAAATAGGTCCTATGGTTAAACTTTTTTCTTCAAAACTTGGTATTGGATGTTAACTTTTACACGGTTCTGAGCACTGTTAACAATATCAGTAAAGTATTTTGAGAGATCATTGGAAAGTTAAAAATTCTGAATTTAACATGAATACACTTCTTTTTGATTCTGAAAATAAAATCAGGTTTTTCAAAGTAAATCTGAATTTTGTCTTTCTCTTAATAGTTTTTCTCTTTATTTTCATTTTCTTATTTTTATTTATATATTCATTTTTGCTAATACAAGATGGATTGACAACTGTAGGCCAAGTTTCATTCAATGTTCTATTATTTGACCCAAAAACCTCTTCATTTCTGGTATGATTTCAAATACTTGTTGGGGGAAAGGGGGTGGGGAGGATAAAAAATGAGAGCCAATGACAGCCATAGCTATGTCAGAGATTTTTCCCCTCAAGCATAGACTTTTGTTTCCCGGAAGATACCCTGTGGTTTTCGAATGGTAGGTAGACTGGTATGTCACATGCCTCTTTCCAAGGATATTTCAGCTCATCTGCAGACTTTTAGGCATATTATCTTTAATAAAACAACTAAAGAAGGACGAAAATTTATTAAAATGATCCTTGCTTTTATACTTGCCTTTGAGGATGGAGGTTGGGAAGTAGACTCGGGTGTTTTTGTTTTTCCTTCAGGAAATTAATTGTATGCTTGAATCTCATTGCTCCCTTCATGGCCAAAGTCCTGCAGACCTCTGGAGGTTTGTTTGCCTCTGATGTCTTACTGTCTTTTCGTTTCCAGGAGTATAGTGTGACGCTGTCTATAAATATTACAGAGGAAGACACTCTATAGAGTGTCCTTGTGGATGGAAAGTTCTTCACTGTACAGCTGAGTGCATTTATTAACTACTGGTTTTAGAACCATTTGAGAAGTTATCCAACTATAGTGAACCAGAAACTCAGGGATTGACTTTAGTTCAGTATTTAGTGCATTGTCTAACCCTACACTTAGACCAACTGCCCACAGTGCCAGGGGATTTATAGGTTCCTCTTTCCCATCAGCTCAAATTCTGTGACCTATTAAAAGATTGAAAATGTTACGTCCGAGGTAAGTGGAGGAAGTGGAGAGGACCTGGGAAAGCATATTTGCATCAATTATAAGTATCCCAATTTGTGTTCTCTGCAGATGGAACATATTTAAGTAGGTAGCGGGAATCCAAATGATTTCTCACTTCTCTTTGGCTGAACAGAATCCCTGTTCTCTCTCATTTCTACACTCAGTTCCTTCCACCCACTAGAGAGGAAAAAACTGCAAAGGACTGCAAATAATTTCCCTTTAAACAGGAGGATTAGTATTTTAACTGTGTGTGCATTGGCCAGTTGAAAGGTTTGGATTGGGAATTGCAGAGACCAGCCACAAGGATAACACAGGATAGTTTCAAGTGCAGGGTGACTCCTGAGCACAGTGCCTTTTGCTAATATCAAGTTGAGCCTTTGCCTGGTGATTGCTTTTTTTCAGGATTAATAAAAAGAAATCTAATGAGCTGCCTTGCCCTTGAATGGGGGCTTGAAAAAGAGTGCCTTGACTCTTAAGAATTTTATTCATTAAAACTATTATAAATATTTGCATTTTTATACTTAACACTTTAATATTATAAATGTTTGAAATAGTAATATCAAATAAAGGTTGACATTTTAAGCAATTAGTTCAGGAAATTCTGAAGTTAAGATCTGCCACAATATTAATTTGATCTTTTTGTTAAATGAGTTTCTTGAAACTATACAGGGGTTGGGTTATTTTGTGTGTGTGTGTGTGTGTGTGTGTGTGTGTTAATGTATTTTTATTGATTAGAGAGAGAGATACCAATGACCAGCTACCTCCTGCATGCCCCTCACTGGGGATGGAGCCCACAACCTGGGCATGTGCCCTGACCAGGAATCGAACCATAACCTGGCTCAACCACTGAGTCATGCGGGCCGGGCAGGATTTTTTTAATTTTTTTATTTTTTAGGACCTATCAAAAGTGTGCACAAGAAAACTGCAAGTCCTGTCTTACTTTAGGAACCAAATCTAAGGGTGTCCTGAGTAAGAATTCTCTTAACTGCTCTTCTATTTACATATTTCATGCCAACTTATGTCTGAAGAGTAAGAAATTTGGGCCTAAACTGAGGCTCAAATGTAAAAAATAAGTTGGTAATTTACATTTGACCCTTTGATTTGAAACCTTCAGTCTACCTACATGTGTGCGCATGCACTAAGATCTACATTTGAAGGCTTCCGCACTGCATTTAAGAACCGTTGAAAAGGAATGTAGGTTTGAAGCCTAAAGCTATGACAAGGAGGTACAATGGCCACCCCTGCTTGACCTGGATGATCAAGCAGGGGGCCCATTTTGCCTATTTTGTTCTTTTTAATATATTTTATTGATTTTTTTTTTTTTTTTTTTTTTTTTTACAGAGAGGAAGGGAGAGGGATAGAGAGCTAGAAACATCTATGAGAGAGACATCAATCAGCTGCCTCCTGCACACCTCCCACTGAGGTTGTGCACACAACCAAGGTACATACCCTTGACCGGAATCGAATCTGGGACCCTTCAGTCTGCAGGCCGACGCTCTATCCACTGAGTCAAACCGGTTTCTGCCCAGCCCCACTGTGGACCTGCCCAATTTGGGCCTGAGGGTGTGCATGTTCTCCTGCTGTGCTGATGGGCCTAATCCTCCCCCCTGCCCCCCAAACTCTCCCTCCCTGCAGTAGGACATTAACAGGACAAGCAGGCTCCAAGTTATGATCCATAACACACACACCCCTGCCACCACCCCCGCCCCCGCCCCCCAGCTGTGTGCCATTGCCTCGTTCTTCTGAAAACCGGCCCAGCTTTTAGCAAATAGGTTCAGCAGTGAATGGGAAACCAACTCAGAGCAGTGTTGATGGGTCAGCATGCTCACCTCCACTGTGCCTCCCCAAACAAATCCTCCGTCCCGTCCAGTGAGTGAGAACATCCTTTACTCAAAATGCAGATTCCTCTGGGAAGGTTCAAGCACCACCATCCGTCACTTACACATTTGTGTCAACTGCCAGGAAGTCCAGCGACTCACACGGACACCTGAGGATTAGCAGCTCTGATTGAGGTGCAGGGAAGGCCTGCAGTTTGGCCTGAGCCCTGAGGCGTGCCTGGGGGACCACAGGCAGACTCCAGAGGGAAGGGAGAGGACTCACGGGGGCAAGGTCACGTCTTAGGGACCCGGGCAGATGGAAGTGGTGAAACGGGGCACCCTGCCAGGTTCAAAGACATTTTTTAAGAGAGATTTTCTCCTCACTTCTGACCAGCAGGGCTCCCAGCTCCCCTGAGCTTGAGTTAGTAAAGACAATGTGCTGCAGTTCAGCCGCTTGATGGGTTAAAGTGACTTGTAATCTGGCCAAGGAACCCACCTACCAGATGTCGCTTCACTTCTGGAGAGGAAATATCTGTTTCAATGTCCATGCAACTGGCACACCAATGAACTTTGGGATGCAACCTAGAGACCACCTACCCTATTTCCTCGAAAATAAGACAGTGTCTTATATTAATTTTTTCTCCCAAAGTTGCAATAGGTCTTATTTTCAAGGGATGTCTTATCTTTCCATGCTCTAGGTCTTATTTTCGAAGGATGTCTTATTTTCGGGGAAACACGGTAGCTATCTATAGTTTTTTCAAGTTCCAAATTTTTTAAAAAAAACACACGTATAAACCCAGTTAGTTCCAGAATTTGGAAGTTGGTGGGATTTTTAAAATTTCAGTTGATATCTGTTAGAGAGAGAAACAAAAGCTTACCTTTGCATTTTCTCTTTTAGGCAAGGAT